ATTTCCATCTCTGTTTCCTGAAAATAGTGTGATTCCATTCTTTTTTATAGCCGAATGCAACTCTACTGTGGGAGCTAGGAAATGTCTCTCTGTAGTAGACCACTTTGTCAGGTCTTGGGTTTCTGGACCCAGAACTGATAAAAATGGAGGTCTCTTCCCATACACCACATTCTCTATCTATTCAACCACTGATTGGCACCGAGGTCGAATCTGTGGCTTTGCTCCTGTATCTGGTGGAGTGAAAGCACAGGTAGGTATATCATTATCATGCACTGGCTCTGATCCCTTCAGGTATAGACAGAGCAATGGTGTTGCTGGCTCACTCAGATATCTGCTCTGTCCTGTGAGGAGCTTCCAGAATGACTTCCATGGTGGCGACACTAATTTAGGACAGGTAACTTTTCTCCTGTGCCTTACCAGCTGCTTATTTTTTTAATTTTTAGTTTTTCTTGGTGGTAGTCATTTTGAATAGGATGAAATGGATCTCAGTGTAATATCATTGTGTTTCCCTGATGGCTAAAGATGTTAAATATTTTAAAGATGTATTCATTGACCCTTTTTACTTCTTCTGGAAACTGTTTGGCTCATTTGATGATTTATTGAATAGATTTGGGTTTGGGTGTTTGCTTGTCTGAGTTCTGTGTTTGTCTCTATGTTACTAGATGGTAAATGAAGAGCTTGCTAAGCCTTTCTGTCTCTAAGCTGTCTTCACTGCGCTGTTTCCTCTGCTGTGCAGGACTTTTAATGTGATGTGGTATGGTTTGTTTTGAGTTGCCATGGTCTGGATTACTGGAGTCCTGGGAACCCCAAGCCTGTACCTACATATTGAAGAGTTTTCTCTCTTTTCTTAAGGTAGCTTGAAACTTCCAGGTTCTTATACTGAAGTCTTTAATTCATTTTTAGTTGATTTTTTTAAATGAGATGAGAGAAAAAATTCTAACTTCAATTTTAGGGGTGTTATTAGTTGCTTTCTCAAGTAGAAAATTTAAAGGTCCATAGTTCTACTTTTAAAAATTCCCATGTCTTTCACATTTATAGATACTAGTTAACATTTTTAGATTTATTTATATATGCATGTTTATACATTGTACCTATATCTAACATGCCTATTATATATACATATGCTAATAAACACATAAAATTAGCTTCATTGGAATTTCCAAATATATCCATATAAACTTAACATATTTACTTCAATAAATATGTTGCTCTTGTCTTATCTGTGGCTCAACTGTTTATTTTTATTTTTAAATCATTTTCTTCCAACTATTATTAGCATGGAGAAATATGGGTGAATTTTATCTCTGTTTCAAAGAAACATGTTTTTATTTAATTCATTTTGAGTAAGGATGTTCCTTTTCCAAAATGGATATGATGGATGCTAATGTGATAAATGACTTATTTAAGAAAGACTCTGGAGGGCAAGGCCAACTCACGCCTGTGAAGTATCAGTGGAATCCTTGGAGCCTTAGTAAGTCTCAGAGACAGGCAATAGAGGGAGGGAGAAGCCCTCCCTACTCACCCCCTACCCCACCCCTTTACCCCACCCAAGCCCCCATAGGACCTGAAGGTGAAGCATCCAGGGAGGTCAAGTAGCAGGCCCTTCACCCAGTGCCTGGGGTGTGGCAGTGTGAGTGAAAACGCTGGTGGGATAGGCCAGTAGTAGCTGGCTTTCAGGAGCCACACAGGTGGTTTGTCTGGTCTAACACACTCCTACCCAACCACTCCTGTATCTCAGGGTCTGCTCCACCCTCCGTCTGCTTCTAGTCCTGCCTTAGTGATGGTACTCTGACCCTTTATAGGAGATGTAGGTGGCACATCTTCTCTGTCACGCAGGTCTGATCCCATGGCAACACATAGTGAGTATCAGGCAGGGATGCAGGTCCAGACTCTCTTCAGTGACTTTAGATGAGGTCTGTGTAGTGGTAAACATGGTCCCCTCAAGTGCCACATGGCCCTGCACAGCCCACCATCAATTTCAGAATACATAGGCATTTACCTTAGAGTCCATGGGTGTCTGTTGCATATTTTTAGTTTAAGACTAGTTTTAGAATTTCATATATGAGTATTGTATTTACATAATTTCTACCTTTTTGTTCCTTGCCCTCCAACTCCTACTATGCCTCTGACTCCCTCTCAAACTCATTAGGACATATTCAGCATTTGTCATATGCATTTTGGGTACAGACTGATAGGTGGATGTGTGGATGTGCAGTGTCATAACAACATTTTTAAAAATTACCATTGTCATTTTTGCAACTCCCCTTCACGTGTGTGTGTGTGTGTGTGTGTGTGTGTGTGTGTGTGTGTGTGTGTGATGAGAACATCAGCTATTTTCCAGTTACTTTGAAATACACAATGCGCTATTACTCACTATGGTTGTCCTGACATATGTGAATGTATTCAGATATATATATATACACACACACACATATATATATATATACGTACTTTGTATAAAAGGTGACAATCTTCACACCTTGAACCCTCTCCTTGCCCTTGCTATCTACTAGATCTCTCTATTCTGAACTTCCAGGATGTCAATTTTATATTCTGCATATGAGAAAAAGCCTGTGATATTTATTATTTCATGTGAGTTACTTAATGTCATTTCATTATAGTTATATCTGAGCTGTATTCTGTTGTGTGTGTATATATGTGTCCTTACCCACTCATTCATATTTGGACAGCTATGTGGCTTCCATTCAGTGACTGCTGCACTGTGGGAGTTAGTGCTGCCATTAGTATGGGAAGGCAGCCATCAGCACTTGTTATTTTGTCTTTTTGACAATAACCATTAGCTGGCAGTGATACTGATTCATGATTTTGATTTGAATTTCCCTGATTATTAGTGATACTGAGCAGTGGTGCTGGGATAAAATCCAGAGCCACATGCATGCTAGGTGTTACAGTTAGGATATAAAATAGTCCCAACAAACTCATATTAAATATTTGGACTCTAGCTGTTTGTAGCAGTGGGCTTTGTAGAATTTTTGCAAGGTGAATATATCTGGGAATCAGGCCATGAGGCGTATAGTCTAGCCCATTTTTCTGTCCCATCTCTGTTTCCTGATCTGCCCAGATGTGAATAAGTGCCTTCTGTCACAGCTGCAAGCGGCAACCTACAGCCAAGCCTTCCCTGCATGAGAGCTGCACCCTCCAACATGTGCCCAAATAAGTCTTTCCTTTAAGCTGCTTCCTGTCAGTGACAAGTTCACAGCAAGGATAGAGGTGTCTGATAAGCTAGGTATGTGTTCTGCAACCTAGGTCTCTGCAAGTCAGGTGTGATTTGCCCTACACAATGGTCTCAACCCTACACAAAGAACTACATGTGGGCCAGGGGTGTAGTGGTGCACATCCTTGATCACAGCACTCATGAGACAGAGGCAGGTAGATCTCTATGAGTTCAAGTGTAGCCTTATCTACATAGTGAGTTTCAGGACAGCCAGGGCTACATAGTGAGACCCAGTCTCAAAAGAAGAAGGAAGAGGAAAAAGAGAAGGAGGAAGAAAGGAGGAGGAGGAGAAGAAGGAGAAGGAGGAGAAGGAGAAAAGGAGAAGGAGGAGGAGGAGGAGGAGGAGGAGAAGAAAAGAAGAAGAAGAAGAAGAAGAAGAAGAAGAAGAAGAAGAAGAAGAAGAAGAAGAAGAAGAAGAAGAAGAAGAAACAGTACAAATGTTGAGAAGGGAGGATTTCCTAAAATATCAGGATAACCATGTAAAATATTATGTAATTTCTTAAAATCGAACCACAGTTCATTACACTGGTAATATTTAAAAAATTAATTTGAGCTCCTTACTCTGGCCCCCTTACTTTGAGAAACTGACTACCAATCCCTCGCTATCCCTTTCCCTGTTTTCTGTCTGTGTAATGTGGTGCTGAAGATGGTACCCAGGGCTTCACATATACTAAGCAAGTGCCCTACGACTGGGCTCAGCCCTCAGCTCCTCCCCCACAGTCAGTTCGCCTCCTGAGTTGGCTTTTGATTCCTCCATAGACTGAGTTCTGTTCTGCTTTCCAATATACAGTTGTCTTCTGTAATAAAAGCCCAACTCAAAGTCTACTAGTGGTCATTTTATGTCCATTCCGTGATAATGTTCTCCCCCTAGCTCTTATTAGCGCTATCCAAATGCATTTCCCCTCCTCTGTTACTTCTATCAGTGTTTGTCTTCCAAGAAAATATTAACACAAATGAAACACACTCCTTGTCATCTACAACATTGTCACCAAAATTTATGCACAGGTGTCACTGTATAGACAGAATATGGCTGTAAATTAACAAGAAATTGACTAATGATCATGGTCAGTTATGAATGATATTGTTATCCAATTCACTACAGCTTATTAGTTTTCAGCAGAGTCCACACGTTATGGTATTTCTAGTGGAATTGGTAAGTTTTAATATTTCTTTTAAAAGCATTATCACATTTTTTTTGTCTAGCATGTATGAGGGGGCATCCTGGCATGGATGTAGGCATCAGAAGAGAGCTTCCAGGAGTCAGCTTTCTCCTTCCATCATGAGTTCCGGGCTCAAACTCAGGTCATCAAGCTTGGTGATGAGCACCTTCATCTGCTGATCCATCTTTATGTCTAGCCTGGGATTGACAAATTTTAAAACTGGGAAGAAAATTCACAATCTGATCAAATATCATTTTGATTATGTGGTTGTATATATGAATTTAAAGTATCAATTGTTTTGCTGTTCAATATACATTTTAAGTAATTAGGCTGTGCTCCAAGAAAAGGAGCCTCTCTGAGACCCAGATTCTATGCAATGAAAATGAAACTTTATTGTATTAACTACTCTTTGTCAAATATCCACTCAATTTTGGGAAGCAGACTTTTGGGTTACTCTCCAACAAGAAGAAACGGTCAAAAGCAAAGCTGCAACTGACTTCCCAGAAAGCGCTTGACATTAGACAGATGAGTCTCCCTTAAGGATCTCATTCATAGATTTGTAATGACTCCTCTTACCTTCATGATTACAATAACTCCTGCTTCTCTCTTAATGCTTCCAGCTCAGGAATAGACATATGGATGGAAACAAAACTTTTCCCAGTGACTTCACCTTCGTGGGGCTCTTTACTCACAACAAATCCTCAGGATTCCTTTTCAGTGTTATCTGTGCCACATTCTTCATGGCCATAATGGCTAATGGGGTCATGATTTTTCTCATTCACATAGATCCTCACCTCCACACCCCCATGTATTTCCTCCTCAGCCACCTCTCCTTCATCGACATGATGTATATCTCCACTATTGTGCCTAAGATACTGATTGATTACCTTGTGGGCAAAGGGACCATCTCCTTTGCCGCCTGTACAGCGCAGTACTTTCTCTACATGGGCTTTGTAGGGGCTGAGTTCTTCCTGCTGGGACTTATGGCCTATGACCGATATGTAGCCATCTGCAACCCACTCCGTTATCCTGTCCTCATGAGTCGGAGGGTCTGCTGGTTTATTTTGACCAGCTCTTGGTTTGGTGGTGCTTTGGACAGTTTTCTCCTCACTCCCATCACCATGAGTCTCCCATTCTGTGCATCCCACAAGATCAACCACTTTTTCTGCGAGGCTCCCACGATGCTGAGGCTGGCCTGTGGTGACAAAGCCGCATATGAAATGGTGATGTACATCTGCTGTGTTGTGATGCTGTTGGTCCCCTTCTCAGTGGTGATCACATCCTATGCACGGATACTTGTCACAGTACATCAGATAAAGTCAGAGGAAGGGAGGAAGAAGGCTTTTGCCACTTGCTCATCACATGTGATTGTTGTGACTTTATTTTATGGGGCTGCTTTGTACACCTATATGCTTCCCCAATCCTACCACACCCCACTCAAAGATAAAATCTTCTCAGCCTTTTACACTATCCTCACCCCCTTACTAAATCCTGTTATTTACAGTCTGAGGAACAGAGATGTGGCAGGTGCTTTGAAGAGAGTGATAGTAAGACATAGAGGGACTTGCAGTGTGGAGAGGAAATAATTACAAGAAGCTAAAATTCCTGTGCCTATCTGGGATAAATCATGGATAATGTGGATATGCTACAGTGATTTCAAAAGCCAGTTCCATAAAATAATGCATCATCAGTGTTTACATCAAAGATAAGGAGCTGTGACCACATTTCACTCATAAATGATGCTAACTTCACATCAGTATCACTTATTTTCAACTCCTTTGTTTCCACTGGCTTTAATTCACTTTTAGGAATTTTTTTTTTTGGTTTTTCGAGACAGGGTTTCTCTGTGTAGCTTTGCGCCTTTCCTGGAACTCGCTTTGTAGACCAGGCTGGCCTCGAACTCACAGAGATCCACCTGCCTCTGCCTCCCGAGTGCTGGGATTAAAGGCGTGCGCCACCACCGCCTGGCTTAGGAAAGTTCTTATTGAAATTTATGTACATAGAGGTCCCAAAGTGTGTGGTTAATGTTACATAGCAACCATCAGTGGCCTTATAAGAACCTGTGAACTTAAAAACATTGTTTAAACTATTCAATAATATATTTTATGAAACTCTTATGAATGTCAAAATTTAAAGGACAATAACACATTACTATAAATCTCCACAGGGAATACCTACAGATACTCAACAATAGAATTTATAAAATCCAGACATTCCTTTATGGAATAGCAATTGAAAAATTCTCCTTTATCTAAGCTTGAAGGTGGAACAAAAGGAACCATATTAATATAGCAATTCAAAGACCAAATTATCACAGAGCAAGTGTCCTATTGTATTTCCTGCTCATTATATTAGGGTATGTAGGGTATATAGTTGAGAAAGAAGTAGCTCATGCAAGAGAAAATTCTACAAGTCTACAAACGTCCCAGGTTCTTTTCCAAATCATTGTGATTCTTGGGCTCTCAGTGTAAATGTTAGAGATCAGAGGGACAATGCCATCTTCTTTCCACATCCAGAAAAAGGCTGTTTTCTTCTCCACAGGCTTTTTCACTGGATACATATAAGGAGGAAAACGGTTAACTCAGCTTTGTATTTGTAAGTCACAACTAGAAAATCCCTTTTGGAGATAATCTAATATCATTTCTGTTTTAGGAAATTAAAAACTGGTAAAAGTATTTAGAGTGGACACAGTCATAAAGACCACACACACCCCTTCTTGGACCAACTCTGTGTGGTACAGTGCCAGGCTTCGTACCTCTGCCTATTGGACAAAATCCAAGCTGTGTCTAGTGATGTCCCACTGCTCTGATAATAGTGTGTAGATTGAACAGAGCCAGACTCTTGTTGTACTGAAATGTTGCTGGGTATTAGACACAAAATAGTCAAACTGAGTGGTCTTCTCAGAGTTCTCAAACTGAGCAATTTTCTCAGAGTTCTGTGCTGGGCTACCAGCTGACTCGGGAGAAAGACCCAGTCCTGTTTGCCTGTGCAGTTTACCACCTTTAAGAAGAAAAGCAGCCTCTCTGAGACTCCGTCGGGAGAATTTTGTGTACTTTAAACTTGTGAGGTTAGTTCAGAACATACCGTATGTTGGAATGTAAAGTTGACTAGCCATTATGGAAGTCAGAATGGAGGTTTCTCAAAAAACAAAAACAAAAACAAAAAACCAGGAGTTGTACCATATGACCCATCTATACTCTGTTGGGTGAACACAGAGTTGCTGGTGTAATACTTGTATACTAGTTTATTGTGGCACTGTTCACAGCAGCTAAGCTACGGAGCCACCCAGCATCCATAACAGAGGAACGGATGAGAAAAACATGGCATACACACACAATGGGTTTCTTTTTTTTTTTTTTTTTTTTTTTTTTTTTTTTTTTACTCACTAAGAAGAATGACATTGTATTGGTTTGGGAAAAATGGGTGCAACCTGAGATAACCATACTAAGCGAACCAAAGGCAGTCATAGAAAAAGAAATGCATGCTTTTCTCATTTGTAGTTTCTAGATTGTTTACTGATACATAAAATCGTATGCATGCATACACATACACACATATGTAAAACTTGCCACTGGAATGTGATTTCCAATCTAGGAAATGACATTCGAAAGGCCTAATAAATGAGGAAGGATGGAGAGGACTAATGCATGATAGCTGTGTATCCATTTCTAGTATATGCTTGGTCATTAACTGGCTTTGGTTATTGGGGCTGATAACCCAAAGTAACAGAAAATTATTTTAAAAATAGATGATTCAGGCTGGTTTTCCTCCCTCTCCTCTCAGGCATTGCCTCTTTGCCAAGGGCCACATATTGTTGGGGGCTGTTTCATAGGCATCTCAAGGAATTAGCTCTGCTAAAAGACACCAAAATAAAAACTAGGAACTACAGGATTGCCTGTCTTTACAGCTACTTCTGCTGTGGGACTATCAGTGGGGACCATTACAAGAACTAGCAGGACTCCCACTAGTGCAGAAGGCAATGACCATGAACAATGCCACTCTGGGGAGTAAGATCACCATATCCAGCCCCCACTTTACAGCACCAGGAGAAAATCAGTATACAAGATGGAGCCAGTCCAGATATGCACAGGAGATGTACCTTCTTCCCAGGGCCACCCCAAGTAGAGACCAGTATCCATATAAAAGCTAAGCCAGTTTTTCTAGAAACTATGCAAGTCTAATATTATATTTTAGCTAATAAGTCACTAGAAGCTATTGCCAAATAATTGTAGAAGTTTAGGGACTAGGGTGGACCTGGACATGACAAAAGTTTGTTCATAAAACTAGGCTTGGGCTTATGAGTATTTAGTTGAAGACCGTGTAGCTAGTATTTATTGAACATGAAAAGTAATAAGAAAAAGATGAAGTAAATTTTAGCTTCCCACATTGGAGATATAGTGGTATAATAATTTGTAATCCATGTTCTAAATTAGCTTCTATACTGGTTGCTAATGCACTGTCTTTGTACAGAGGGGAGATAAGTGGTTTGTTTTAAGAGAATAAAACATTCTACCCCAAATGTTTCCTGTCATGTTTCAAGTTTTTCAGATGCTGCAGACCTCTGAGGACAGAAATGGCTCTGAACAACTGTCTTTTCATAATAAGAAATTCACATCTGCATTAGTACAGCGAATAAAGACTGTTGCCTCTTACCTGGTATCACCACCTCCTCTCCTGAATAGCAAGGGTATGCCATGGCCACACAGACATTACGAGAGGGCTGCTACCTGGACATCTATCTGCACAGTGACAACTCTTTCTTACTGTACACATTCTCCCCAGACCTCCATCACCCATCTCCTTCATCCAGAGACTTGGGCATCCCTTTGCTCAAATCTGCATGGAGTTAAATGACCATTTCACCTGTCCTTAGGTTTCACAGTCCCAGGCCTCCATCTTGTAATAGAGCATGCATACTTTTTTTTTTAACTCTTGTCTATTGTCAGTTTATTTCATGGACCAAAAGTATTTAATCCTCAAAGGAAAAATATTTCATGTAAAACATAAATGCCCTGCAGTGTATTTCTGTGAGATCTGCAGGTCCCTTCTTACCAGAGTCAACAGCCTATTGAACCAAGGCTGTTAGAGAGAATTGTCTTTTCTTTTCTTTTCTTTTTTTTCTCGAGACAGGGTTTCTCTGTGTAGCTTTGCGCCTTTCCTGGAACTCGCTTGGTAGCCCAGGCTGGCCTCGAACTCACAAAGATCTGCCTGCCTCTGCCTCCCGAGTGCTGGGATTAAAGGCGTGCGCCACCACGAGAATTGTCTTTTCTAATTGATATGACTAGTTGGTTATTTGTCTTTGTGGTACTTCATCCTTCATTGTAAGTCTCAACCCCTAAAAGTTCTCTCAAAGGACTATGTAGTTTAAGTGGTTATCGCTGTGAGAAACTAAATGGAATTTTAGATTAGCCCATTTCTCCTCTCAGTCATCATGCAAGAACTTGCACTCCTTTGTGGACCCCTGTGAGGATCTGACATGTCAGGCACTTACTCCTCTGTGAGCCTTTTGCCTGTGTCTGAATGAGACTTATTTCCGTGTCTAGGACGGTGAAAATCTTAGGATTTTGTGCTCCTAGTAAAAAGAAATTAGTGAAACGTGTAATTTATATTCATAGAAGAATCACTCAAGAATGGAGAAAGAGTATTTAAAGATGTTATATATGTGTTTGCAGCCTTTTACTAAATATCTCCCTCATGCTGACCCCTAATAACTAGGGGAGAATGGAAGGATTGTAACCTGGCAATGACATAAGAATGCAGAACTCTAGAACACCAACCCAATGTAAGATGAAGCAGAGAGCAAACCAAAGATATCAAATGCTTAATTGGCTCTAGGGCCTTAGCATTTGACCAGACTGTAACTTCTTGGAGATCTTCTTATTCCCCTGAAGAACTGCGTTAATTCACATTACCTACTGCAAGATATACTTCCAATTGATTTTATGGCTGTATGCCCAGGAAATCTATATTTCTCACTCACATATTCCCATGATAAGTATCAAGAGCCTGACTGTAGCATGAATCTTAACAGTTCTTATTAATAAAATCAAACTTGGGGCCAGTTATTGGGGTGAAATGCTGGTTGGCAGAGAGACAGAACAAGCCACAGCTAACCTCACCTTGCCAGATCCTTAGCTTGTCTTGTTTCCTCAGACTGGAAGCCTCTGTGTCCTCATATCCAAATGGCTCTCAGCTGAACTGTGCTGCTAGAAGCCTGAAAGCTTAACCAGCCAAATGCTTAACCGGCCAAATACTTCTAGTTTCTGGTCCTCATGCCTTATATACCTTTCTGCTTTCTACCACCACTCCCTGGGATTAAGGGCTTGCTTTCTGGGATTAAAGGCATGATGAGTCATTATGCCTGACAGTATCTTTGAACACATGGATTTCTGCCTCTGGAATGCTAGGATTAAAGGTGTGTGCTACCACTGCCTATCCTTTATGATTAATATTGTGGCTGCTCTGTCTCTGACCCTAGATAAGTTTATTAGCATGCACAATATTTGGGGGAATACAATACCACACCTGACATTGTCAATAGGTGTTTACATGTGAATCCTTTCTCTCTCCTTTCATGTATATTCCTTCTAACACACATGTGAACACACCTCCAGA